TAGGGTAACGGTCCAAGCTAGCTCTCGTGTCTGTCAGTGCTGTCCGGTAGAAGTTCCCCTCGATACAAGTAGGGTAATGGTCCTGAGTGCTGGTCACACTGAGGAAGGATAGCAGGGATAGGGGTTGCGCTAGGAGTAGTGACACTGTGATGCCCAACCTCACGCCCGACGCGACTTCCTGATCGGAGTRRGATGTGGGCCTGGAAGTGCAAAAAAGGGGTGTGCCAAGGATTTTAGGAAAGTGGGGGTGGAGTCCCAGGTCGGAACTGAGATCTCCGGTGGCAAGTTTAGGGACACTGGTGCAAGATGGTACGCAAATACCGGGTCTGGGATTATCGTACTCGCCAGTCGCGCCGCTGTGGTCGGCTTCATGGGTTGTAGTGGCGATCGCGCGGTTCGATCAGTTGTTGGCGCCGATCGGCTTCGGTTCGGGTTCACCGAACGATCTCCGAGGCTCGATATGCCTGGTGTCGCCGACACTTTTCGCACGGCGTGTGGGCCCAATAGCGGGCTATGGAGTTCCATGGCACCACTGTGAGCTGGTGATATGGGAGGAGGAGGTGAAAGGGAGGGAAACGGGTGGTAATAACGACGAAGCCGGGGGATATGAAATATTGCGTGTTATAAGTATCCGGGTACTCGAGGCCCCTGGGATCGTTAGTTACGGCACAACGAAAGTCCCTTGCACACAATCGGTCGTTATCTGTCAGACAGGGGAATTCCGGATTTCTTAAGTTTCCCCGTCGTCTGAGTTGTTCACTTTTTCAGTATTCACGATATTCCAGGTCCCTCAGGCTCTCATGATCGGACATCCAAGAAGGAAATTCTGCAGCTACATCCGTTCAGCAAGCTTGGTCCTCTGCATCCTTACAAGGGATTGAAGGCCGACTCACGCAGACGAGCGCGTATGTGGCAACTTGTTTTTTTCTCGAGATCACGGTGGTACGCGAGCGCGCACGTGAGAAACAGCAGATTGGTCCCGGGGTTCAGTGTACCGATCGCGTTCAGCATTCATGCAAATATCCTACTCATGCTATGTTGGGTGAGATCCAGTCATTACATGTCATACATGTGACAAAAGGGAAAAAAAAAGGGGAAGGACAATCAACTTCTCACAACATTCTTGGTGATCGACAGTAATGATTAAACCCAAACATCCATAACGAGCGTTTTCAATAAGATTTGAGTGTATAGCTCACGCAAATGGATAGTAGACAGGGACAAAAAAGTCATCGCAGAAATCCAAAAAGATCAGTAATAAAAAGGAATTCGCATTCATTCCATGCATACATACGAAATAAAAACGACAAGGAAAATCTGAGACGATTTACAAGGAGAAGTCCAAAAAGGCCGCCACAAGATCGGCCATATCAGGAGCTAAAATTATACAGATAGACAAAGGAAAGAACCTCATCCCACACCCACAACTGCTCTCTCTCTCTCTCTCTCTCTCTCTCTCTCTCTCTCTCTCTCTCCCTCTCTCTCTCTCTCTCTCCACTCCCGATGCAAGCAGTTTGTTGCCTCGCACCAACTTAGAGTTGTCACCCCGCTTGGTTCGAGTATGCAAGCCAGGTTCGCCTGTGCGCCACAGTCCGCCGTGGCCCCGCACGCCAACCCCGCATACCCGACACCGGCTCGTCGGATCGCCCAACTCTCTCATCGACTCACCTCTCAAGCTGACTCGTTAGCCGACCCTCACTGATCGCGCTAACTCCAAGGTTCTTAGAGAGCAAACTAATCGCGCTTGCAAAATTTATAGCATGCATGTCTGCGCGAAAGGTACGGGATTAAGCTCAGATGGGCAGGAGGAGGAGAGAGGAAGTGTCTACGCCTGCGTGGCCAGGCTGCGGCATGGGGGCCGTAGCCACACTCCACGCATCGATCCGATCATGCAGGCGCTCCGACCAATTAAAACAGAGTATGCAAGGCGATGAAGAAGATAAAGATGCTACCCGACTTGTTCCTACGTTGGGTACTCATGCTCAAGGACAAGATGCGTGTGCAGTATCTTCTCCGTCCCGCAGCGGCGACTTATCAGTCTTATCGTCTTCAAGTGGTTCTTCACGGCATTCGGCGTGTGAGTTCAACACAGAGGTATTGGACCTGCTCACATCCGAGGATTTTGCATGGCTTCCTCTCCCGACCACTGGCCGCTTGTCGGGACCGCTATGCGCAACATTATGCACTCATCTTCACACGTACCTATCCTTCTATGCACCATGAACTTCGCCGATGGATAACGAAGTTGCGGTGGGGGACATTCTTGCGTATGTTACCAAGGTGGCCCGCGAGTTTCACAAGCAGCGTACGACGACAACAACACATTGCTCCTCTATGTCCGCATCCATGTTAGGCAAGCGTCTTCCAGCGCGTTGCTAGATAGCGGCGCGTCTCACAATTTCACAAGTCAAACCTTTATGCAAAGGGCTGACCTTGGCACACAAGTTATGAGAAAGGCAAACTCGACGGCGATCAAGTTGGCGGACGGAAGGACGCAGCAACTTATCGACCGCTACATCGATGTCGTACCGGTGTATTTCGCACCTCATGCATGCGAACCAGTGACGTTTGACATTTTGGACATAGATTTCGACATTATTTTGGGAATGCCTTGGCTTGCAAGTGCAGATCACACGGTCAACTTCCACAGGCGGACTCTCACCGTTCGCGACGCTTTCGGCACTGAAGTACTGTGTACTATTCCTCGTCCGCACCGTTCGATCCGATGTCAAGTGGTGACGGCCAAGTCATTTCGGGCTACTTGTGCTTACGAGCAGCCCTACGAAATCGGCCTGTGTTTCCTACGGACCGTCGTGGTAGCCGACTTTTCACCCACAGAATTGTCTTCGGACCCCTGTGTGGTGCGGTTGCTTGACGAGTTCGCGGACATCTTCGAGTCACCTACCGGTATGGTGCCGGATCGGATGATCTTTCACAAGATCATTCTTGAGGCCGGTGCCGTGCCGTCGAAAGGTTGCATTTACCGCATGAGCGAGGAGGACCTTACGGTCCTCCGCATGCAACTCGATGACTTGTTGGACAAGGGCTGGATCCGCCTTAGTA